TCCCTGTGTCTTCCCTCACCAAGGAAGCTTAAAATAAATTATTTTAACAACTAATTTACCAGTATTTATTGCCTTAGAAGCTAAATAAAATAATGCTGTATCAAAATTACTGTTAAAGATATCAAGCACTTGAAACAGATTTTATGCCATATTTCCTAGTTGTAGACATCTGCTAAGTTAGCATAGAGATGTGTGTGAAATAATACTGAACTGATGACAGAATATCAGCTACTGATAGATCGTAAACATTATTTTCACACGCTATTTAAAAGAAATCCAGAATACTTTGCCAAATACCTTGCAGTAATTAATACCCATCTTTTTAGCAAAGTATTGAAGAGGACATTGTCCATGCAGCTCGAAAGCACTTTGGAGGACGCCAATCATCCTTGCCCAGTCTGGGTTCAGGGCTAGCTTAGGGACAGAATCAGTTGGTTTGTCCCGACACCCTGTTATGGCAGAGAGAGACCAAGCACAGCTCTGTGTATGACCATGGTGTCCTGCTAGATTGTCTTTATGAGTTGGGGGTTGGAAGTTCCCTCCCCTAATGGCTCCACTCCTATTGGAGGGAAAACTCAGAATAGGATTAGATGAATGTGCCTTTGGACTCTGCTATGTTGACTGGTGTCCCAAGGCATTATCTGGTCCCAAATATATGAACTTCAGTGCAGAAGCAACTGCAGTGCTGGCTAATTAGGTACCAAAGTATCAAGCTAATTTCCCTTATTATCAAATGTACCACCCTTGTCTAGGCTTGGGACATAGCAATGTGTGACCTGTTTAGTTCTTGGACAAAAATTCTAGGGTTGTAGATTAACTTGGGAAAACAAACATTCTGGAAGAAAACAGTGGCAAGCCACTTCTGATTATGACCAGAAGAAACTTCACTGATGTGTCCATGAGATCATCAGAAATTGAGCTCAACACAAAGGAGCCTTTACCTTGTTACTTTTTGTAGAATAGTATCTTTGAAAAAAATAGCTTATAAAATGTGTATTGTTCCTTATTTAATCCATTATTATTCATCAATGTTAAACTATGTCAGACGTTAGAGACTATAAACACTTGGGCACAATTGGATAGGATGTCAAATGACTGGTAAGCCCCCATGAAATGGCCTTCTTCCAAGTTTACAGGGAAGGAAAGACAAGGAAAAACAAGGTTTATGATCACTTCCTCTGAAAGTGTCCTCAGAAGCATTTGAGGATGGCTTCTTATGGATTTCTCTGAAGCTTCTGATAATAGCTTCTCTATTGCTTTATCTCGTTTTGCAGTAAATGTGGGACTAATACACAAGGCATTAATCTCTTGGCTGAAAAGAGAATCTCTTTCTCCTTCTCGCACTATTCATTTAAAAAAGCATCAGTCACCCAACTGAGTTGCAAAATCTTATTGTGAAATGGAAAGGTCTATCTTTTCTTGAATAAAATGTCCCTAAGCCATAGAGATGGATAAAGAAGCAAATTTTCAGGTCTAAAAATTCATTGAGATTTAAGCTGCATCTAAAACTGATTTTGCATACATTGACTGCTTTGTGATTCTGGATTGCTCTTGCAAAAAACATTTGGGGGACCAATAGAAGTGAATCTGTGTAGCTCAGGGCTGAACTGTGGAGGCCCCCGGGGGGCGGGAGGGTGGGGGTTTTGGGTGGCCGCATATCCCTAAACCCGGGGGCGCGCGCTGCCCTG